GAAGTGGATGATGATGTTGTTGTTGATGTGGATGATGATGTTGATGATGAAGTGGATGATGAAGTGGATGATGATGTTGTTGTTGATGTTGAAGACGCAGTTGTTGTTGACGATGATGATGTTGATGTTGATGTTGATGACGAAGTTGTTGTTGATGTTGAAGACGCAGTTGTTGTTGATGTGGATGATGATGATGATGAAGTGGTTGATGTTGTTGTTGTTGATGTCGTAGTAGGTTCTATTTTAGACAAACGAGAATCACAGTGTGGGTGGGGGCGTGGTTGCAGATCTTTTCTTCTCTCCATACCCTCACCCTTACACACACATCCATACCCACACCCACACCCTCTAGCACTAAGCCAGGCTTTAAAGAAGGGGCTTATTGATCTTTTCGATTATAATACCGTTTGTGGTATTCTAAAAGTAACTCTATGAATATATTGCTCGTGATATTTAATATATAGCTAGTAGGAGCGTTTATGAACCGCTTTGTTCCATATGTCTACCAGTTTTTTTGTTGCGATGAATGTAAAAAAGAAAACGAGTTTTTCTCATCGATATATTTATTCTAAATAGTCGTAGTTGTACTTACCGAGTGGAATACGTGTTCCACCCGTAACAATCATAGTAATAGTGTCCGTATTGACCACCAGATTGCCATTTTGATTTGTTATATCAGCAAATAGTTCACATTTAGATGGTAATTTATGAAAACTAAATGCTTTACAATGAACTTGGGCTAAACAAGCCACGTGACAGTGGTGGATATTCGACACATTGATAGTGGCAAATGGTAAGCAAGTTGTGTTAGAACATTGGAATTGCCAACCAGTCATTTCAGATAAATGAAATGATCGTATATTTTGTGCGTCTGATTGTGTAACAAGAAAAAGCAGAAGAAATAAAAGATTCCTTCTCCACCCCATTACCAACAAGAATGTTGGTTGAGAGAAGAATTTCACTTCAAATGAAATGCATTGTGAAGACAAAGCATTAAATACCATTTCAGTTTTTCTCCCTCTTTTTCTTTTTTCTCTTTCTTTTTCTTTTTTTCTCTCTCTCTTTTTCTCTTTGTCTTTTTCTTTTTCTATTTCACTCTCGCTCTCTATCTCTCTCTATTTTTTTCTTTTTGTCTTCCCACATTACAAATATTTTTTTATTTCATCAATATGATGAAAACCTAGTCATGACTTTTTTGTCACGGTTGTGTAGCAGAGCTTTACTTTGAAATATTATGCATTTAGAAAGATAATTGTTTTTCGTAGTTGATGTGCAGGCGGAAAACAAAAATACGTATATCTTAAAATCTTGTTTTATGAAGAAACAATGATCACTTCGTTTGTTTATAGTATGAGACCACTTTATGAAATAACTCAGTTAAAAGACACTACTATTCAGCATTCTAAAATAATTTCAATAATTGTTCATTTTCACAAATAATCGGACATTTTCCTTCGAATAAAATATGCCCGTCCAATCGAATCATGTCTGTCCTTTTTTTTATGTTTTATGCTGTAATAATATACAATGTGTACACAACAGAAAAACTATCTCAAGATAATTGTTTTTCAAAGAAATATTAGAAAAAAAATACTGCACAATGATGTTTGCCTGTTATGATCAAAATAATGGAAATAATATCGTAAAAGAAAACTGTATTACAAAAAAGGATAATAACTAAATATCTCCTGATGTTGGAAAACAACACCGTTACTATGTCGTTAGAAAAATTAATAATAACGTTTATGACGTCGTTACTTTCTTTATACATTTAATTTAGCAAAATTAATATAAATACTCTTTAGAGTTTTGAATATATTGTATGCCAGTATGATATATTCTGTTTTGTTCATGAGTCTTTGAATTCGTAAGATCTAAACTAGTGAGATAATTCTGGAACCATTTCTTCATATTACAATTATGTCTTTTTCTTTTCATACATCATAGATATTTTTTTAATTCATCAGTGCGATGGAAAACCAGTCATGACTTTCTTGTTTTGTCAGGGATGCCTATCAGAGCTTCACTTTGAAATATTATGTATTTACAATGATGAGTTTTTTTCGTAGTTAATTTGCAAGTAGAGAACAAAAAAAATGCATCTGATGATCGTGATTCATACAGAAAAAATTCGTTTATTAGTTTTTAATATGAGACTATTTTTTATTAAACTTAATTCCGTTTGTCAACATAAAAAACACTTTATGAAATAAATCAATTAAGTGAAACCGGTTTTCAACATTCTAAAATAACTTCAATAACTGTTCATTTTTACAAATAATCAGACATTCTTTTTCAAATAAAACATGCCCCATCCAATAGAATGGTTCTTGTCCTTTCTTTATTTTCAGTTCTACGTTGCTATAATACAAAATGTGTACACAACACAAAAACTATCTCAAGATAATTTGATTTTCTTTACAAAAAACCATTAGAAGCAAATATACTGCGCAATGATGTTTGCCTGTTATAATCAGAATAATGGAACCTGCATCGTCGAAGAAAACTCTATTACAAAAAAAGGATGGTAAAAAAAATGCGTTAGTCGTGGAAAAAAATGCATCGTCATCATGCCATTTTGAAAATTAACAATAATATTTATGGCGTCTTTACCTTCTTTGTACATTTTATTTAGCAAGATTTATGCAAATATTCTTTAAGGTTTTAAATATGTTGTATATTATTGGGACATATTCCGTTTTGTTCATAAGTCTCTGAATTCAAAAAATCTAAACTACCTAGTGAGAAAATTCTTGAAACCTTCTTCCATATTACAACTATGAGAAACAACTAACAAGGAACATCTATATTCGGCATTTAGAGAATAAAGGGCGTCCAGAATACTCCCAAAAATCCAACTATCTAAAAAACTCATATAGTCTATGAACACAAAATATCAACGTCTTCTTCAATTTTTCAAATCAACAAGATTAATTCTGAATAAATAAATAAACATAAAGCTATTAATCAATACAGGAAATGATAACATTTTTGAATATTATTTATTGTCAAATAAAAGAGAAAAAAGGAAAGAATACATATACCAGAAATAATAAACTTCGCAATAAGAGGCATTTGGAATTTTCTTCTTCTTTATCAAACTAGTTTAGAAATGGTGATGTAGTTTTATAATAAGTATTATGAAGATGTTACATTGTAATTGATGAGAAAAAATCGTTAAAAATTACAAATTTAGCTTCATAATAGTTATTGTAAAGTTACTACATCACAATGACAGACAAAAACCTTGTAGAAATACAGAAAAAAAATTGAGAGAACGTTTGAACAAACAGAAAGGAGAAAAAGAAAAAAAAGCTTCTTGCTAAAGAAGTATAGTTTACAATGAATAAGTGGTGATATATAGTGATAAACCCATGTGAGGCGATGTGTTCATGAAACAAGAGAAATTTTCTAAACTTATATGACAGATGCTGTTCATAGAATAATTAGGATACTCATTGAATTGAAATAAAAAATATTCTGTTGACCATAATTCAAACCCTTTCATCAAAAAAGACTACATTGAGAACACCAAAAATCGAATTCATATTTGAATCGGCTTTTTTCATCATAAAGAACTACTCATAATTAAAATTTTGTATGAGAACTTGCAGCTTCTATATAAATCATCATTTTATTCATAATCGACTTCTATCGGTATTGTTTTCGAACACTTCTTATTATTTTTGGTTCATGATTCGACGATTTTTCTTAAAACATCAAAATTTATTTACAATGGAATACAATAAATCATTGATTCTTGAAAACAATTTTATTTTGTAACAGTCATATAAATCAGACGTAATAAATTTTTTGATATTCTTTTAAAAGTACTGACACACTCTTATGAACAATATTAAAAAGAAATATTTTATTTTATTAATCAGCGAACAATATTCTAAACTATAATATCAGTAATTAATTCCGTTTGGTCAGTGAATCGTCACATTTAGATCAGTACTCCCCATGCTGTAACATCCCTCAATTGCCACATATATATATATGGATCTATTTATCGTCTATGTTTCTTCTTGACCTAGTTTTCAGATATTATTACATCTATTCGATATCTTATAGTTATGTCATAGATGACCATATAGTCTTCAGTGACTGTTTTTTAATTTAAGGCTCTCCCTTCGCCGGATAAAAAAAAGCAATTTTCGTTAGAAATGTCAATTTGGAGATTTATAAGTAGTCAGATAGCCCATACTCTGTACTTTCGAATGCGTTATGATTTATTGGTTTTATGATAGTTTCTGAAGGTTTTACAGCGGTTTTTATAATACACCCTACATTAAAAATGTTTTTTAGGACTTCAACTATTGAAACTATTTGAGTTTTTCTCTATACCACTTTTTAAAGAAAAAAACCATATTAATCAAAGTATAACCGTGTTTTGCGGTTTTATCGAAACTGTTTTTGTGTTTGACCTCCCCGTATGAGAAAGATTTTTTCGTCGTTTTAAATGCTGCAAAGTTTGGAAAGGTTTTTAAATGAAGTAAAAGCTCAGCGGTTCAACCTAACAAAGCCAAAATTTTTGTTTTCAATTTAGTTGCTTACAAAAAAGTGGAGTTTTGTGACCTGATTTTTGAAATTTTTTTCACAAAAAAATCTCTGAAAAAAATTCACTTTTTCAAAAAAATGCTGTTGTTACGTTGTAGCGGCAAGCTTTTTCTACAGTTTGGCACACGGACACCTGGTTTTTAACTTTTCACATTTGGATAACCCTCGCAAAGCCCGATATAATGAGCTCAGCTGAGGGTGTGGCTGAGATATTACCTCTCATCCCACACCGACATCGACCCTTCAAAAGGGCACCGAGATCGACCTCCAAAAGACAAAAAAAAACATTGTTTATTCAGTAAATTTTCGTTACTTTTAATTCTAGTATTATATAAATAGAAAAATTACTGATCAAAAAATACGGATCATTTAAACAGGACATATATTCAATCTATCAAACGATCACACTACAATTCTCAGCTCTGATCTGCTGCAACCTAGTTGCACTCGCAGAAATGAGGATTGCTATTAAAAGTAATAAAAGGAAAACGACGATTGCAAGTGGCACCATCACGACGGAAATAACCTTTCTTATTACTGTTATAACACCAATCAGAACATTTACCACAATGTGCACAAGCTCGACCGCTACAACCAAGTTGCTCTTGAGAAAGTGATACAGTTGCTCGTGCATCTTCTAAATGAAAATATGTATTATTTATTAAAACTTAACAAGACTGCTCACTACTCTATTCCGAAATAGCATATTTTTTTTATGAATTCTTTTACAATTGAATAACTGTGTTAGTACAAAGGCGAGATCAAATTATACGATTTTAGGTGATAAAAATTAAAAAAACCATTAGAGCCATTTGAGAGATATCATCAGTTGTTCTGTTGATGGAACAAAAAGATTTCATACTGTTTTCTGCTTGAATGAATTTATCAATCAATAACAAAGGATCTCCAAAGATTTTGTAGAGCTGTTAAGAGTGCTTCATCATACAGTCAATAGTTGATGATATTCATACAACTCAAGGAAAATTTCTAGCAATTAAATTTTCAGTTGTTTAGCGTTAACTCAAACCTTATTTTGAATCTTCTCTCGTTACTCTAAACAGTCTCAATCATCTACGACTTTGATCTATTTTTCTTAGAAGAGCTAATTAACAGAACCAACGACTAAGATCAAAGATATAATGTTTTATAGAACTAGAAAGACGAAAAATATATCACTAGATAGTTCGTTCATTGATAATTCTAATCATAGATATTATCAATTTATATGTAGGAAACATATTGATAAGAAAGAAAATAATTGATCTAATCCTTATTCATTATTTTGATGAGCGATAGATTTAGTGGTATTTAGTATATATAAACTGAGTAAGTGATTATTCTTGTTCTGTTCCGTTTAATATACAGAACGAATTTTGAAGAGAAATAGATGTTAGACATGTAAATGATTCTTAATCATTTTCTGATCTATATTTCAGATGATCAACTAAAGTCTCTTACCAATTTTATTATCATTGCACGAACTATGATCTGTATTCTCTGCATCTCGAGTCAATGTTTTTTGAAAAATAACATACTGAAAATTTATTTAAACTGGACGTCCGAAACATACCTTTTAGTATTATTGGTGTTTGTTGACGTTCAACTTCAAGATGTTTTTCTCGAACGTAGATAATACGATTCCATTCTATTTTTTCACTTTCTTCTTTATCAAGTTCAATTATAGTTTCTTGAGAAAGTTGAGTCAGGTCTACATTAAACTGATGAATCCTCTGTTTAAGTTTTGTCAAATCATGTTCAACATAGTTCTCAGTTTTTTTCAAATCAGCTAACTTGTCTGAGAAGCCTTTGAATTCATTTGTAATTTTCACAGATTTTGAATTCATTAGCTGATTAGCTTGCTGACGCGCATGCTCGGCTGTTTGTCGTACTTTTTCAATTGTAACCCTTTCCCATGCATTGATTTCCTCAATTAATGGACTGATTGAGTTGTTCGGTTTTATTGCTCTGTTAATTTTCTCTTGTAGTTTATCACGCTCTTCAACAAGTTCATCCATCTCAGTAAATAATATTTCACGATGACCTTTGAAATCCTTTGTGCAGAAGTAACCATCACAACCTATGCAATGCATTACTCCTATTGGTTTTTGGCAAGTGGAGCATTGATTTGATTTTGACATTTCTATAAGTATAATATGATAGAATATCATTTATGAACATTGATCATAGTAGAGAATCTGCTTACATTATGTATTATAGTTGTGAAACGGATGTGGTCGATATCGACTTTTAGAAATATATACGAAATAAAAAGATTATGAATCTAAAATTGTCGAAGTAAGGACAAAATATATAATCTTGTTTTTATCAGTATTAATAGTAGAAAAGTTTCAAAATAATATCATTAGTAACCATACTTCTAGTCTAATTTGCAACTATAATATACCTCCTGTATTTAATAATAATATTGCAGTAACTCCTTTTAACGTCGCACAATGATAAAAGAAACTCTTCAAAGATGAAAGAAAGTCCACCTCCTGAATCTAGCCCTGTTCGATAAACAAAAACTCCAGTTCAAGCTCAACTAGTATTATTCTTTGGTAATTCAATAATACATACTTTTCTTTGAAATAATCACTGTAGCAGATATTTTTTAATCTTAACTATTTCGTTAATGTTTTATAATTTTGTTTTTTCGCTTTTGTGTGAGGAAGAAACGAAAAGTGAATTTATATTTATTTCGATCAACCAAAGAAAAGAAAAAACCAACATAAATTACCTTTCATAGCCCTTATCAAAGAACAGAGACATGTACGTCATTCTTTTGTTGATAAACTAATGCAAACGAAAGATATTGTAAAATGATGTTGAGATTACAGGTAGCAATAAAAAAACATTGTATTACAATATTGTAACTTCCATTCATCTGAAGAGAATCGCTCACAGAGAATTTTCAACTACTTTCATAGTCATTACTATGTTGTCAATACAAAAAAGCAAAATTATGTAACTCAAAGCCTAAAACAGAAGAAGTAGACAAATCGTCTATGCAAAGAACTTCTATGATAGTTATCCTTAACTAACACATGCAGTCGAATATATTACATTCTTTCGAAATCTATTATTGTAAGCAAGTGAAAAATAAACAACAAAGAAATCATAGAAAGTTTTGTCACTTTGGTTTTTGTATTAGCCATCGATCATTAACAATAGTTTCAGAAACCGAATTTTTTCTCTCGGATCAACTAAACATGATTTCCTATGTGTTTTGTCTGCTGATATTATCTAAAATCAAATTACTTAAAAACTATGGTATCTATATTTTAGCAACATACAGGTCTTGCATAGGTCCTTCATTCTTCTTTTTTACTTTTCATACAAAGAGCTGAGAGAAATCTTCGAAAAACTATGAGTAATACTGAGTTTAACAGCTTCAAGAGTCCCTAAAAATTAGTTATTTCATCGCAAGTTCAATAAAACGTGTACTATTTTTATATTAAGCGATATAAAAGTCTTTGGACAAATGTTAGGCTTTATGTTAAACCATATTATTTGTTTGCTACAAAATCTAGCAATCTTTTACATTTTAAAAACGTTGATTGTTAATTTTGTTATAGATCAAAATTAAATTGTGATATTTTGATCATTTAGGTTTATTTATGAAGATTTTTTTTTAAGTTCGATGAAAGTATTGTGATTTATTTATCATTATTATTAGTATACACCGATCCTGATAAATCGATCATAATCACCAAATACCGTGAGTTTATATCTTTTATTTTTCTATTAAAAAATCTAATTGTTTAGAATATAGCTTGAACAAGTAAATCATTTTTTAAAAAAATCTTTGTGTTCTATGTGTATTATCAAGTTTTCGAATACTTCAGCTGTGTGTAATTTATATAGTGATATCAACGCAAAAAACTTTGATAATCTTCTTAATACATTTTTTTTCTTCATTAACACTTGATAATTGGTATTTGATACACCAAGTATGTTCTGAACGTAATTACTCGCATTTTCAACTCGTTTTTTTCTTTATTTTATTTTTTTTTCTTGTTACAGAATTTGATAAGATAAATATTTTAGATAAATTAATAATCATAAGAAAATTTAGTGGATAGTTTTGAGAACTATGAACAATTGATCCAACTAGAACAAAAAACAATTAAATTCATGGTAATTAATCAAGAAAAGCGAAAAGTGATTGTGAAGAAATGATCAAGTTTGAAATATATAATCCGAAATCTACTATCTTATTAGTTTTTCTTTCTAGTAAGATAAGATCACGCTATGTGAATTGTTATACTAATATACATATAAAGCATTTAGTAAAGTGAAATTGTTTACAGAATCAAGTTTTACGAAACTTATATAAAATATCATGATTTACATCTTCCAAATCAAATGAAAATATTATTGAAATAGAATTCTAGAGATCAAAAGTCGATACATGTTTTATCGACATCTAAGGGATGATATTTAAAAATAGAGTTTCAATAAGATAATCCTTTTTAGTTGTTCTATATAGATCAGAAGCAGTTGTCTTTAATCGAGTGTGTTAAGACAAAAAAAGAAACATTTCATTATGCGAAATCTTTCGTTATTATCCAGTCATTAAAATAATTATGATTTTCTACTGTTGAGAATAATCCATAAATTCCTCTTTTTTTTATTATCATATAGGCAAACATACTATTGATGATATTAAAATATTTGTTAAGTGCATAATTACATTTTACAAATCATATTCGCTTGAGGAATGCGAAACAAAGATATTTTCTGATCAATTTGTAAAAAACGTCTTGTTTTCATAAATTATTTCGTTTCAAAGCATTGTGATCAATGAATATTTTCGAAGTTAAGATAAACAGTCTTTCCATGTAACAAGCTCTATTAAAGAATGAACAGATATGACATGCTAAGCTTCATATAAATTACAAACCGATTTTTGGCTAATGTGTTTGAGAACTCAAGAATTCCTGCATCTCTTTGTTTGGGTCTATATAAGAGTATAACATATAATCGATATATAACGCATCCTTTCCTTTCATTATAGTTTCTGGTACTCACCAGCTATTCCTAACTTTTTAGCTTTTGAACACTCCTCACGGTTATAGTGAACATCATTATAAATTGCACGACTTTTTTAAATACATATCTATATCGGTTCAAGGCTATAGCATCGCTGCAGAGATGATAATTACAAATTGGTGACTTGAAATTCTCTTCCAAAGCTACAATCGTCAAACTAAACTTAGCATAGTTATTATACATCATTTTTCACACGATATACTTCTCGTTTTCTAAGTAGTGAGAAGCACTACAACAAAATGTTATAAACAACCTACCTTTTTTTAATCTGTTTCTTACAAATGTTCACTTGTTTAGATATCAAAATCATGCTCTTTAAACTGTTTTCTTGATTAGTACAAAAATATACAAAATATACAAAATATACAAAATATACAAAATATACAAAAATATACAAGAAATATACAAAAATATTCAGTGAATCAAAAAAATCACAAGCTAAATCAACAATCGTCATCTACTGCATTCTATTTACAGTTCCTGAGATCAGTTAGGGAAAATAACCAAGAGGAGGACAATCAGGAGGAGCAGGATGATGAGCACCAGATTGCTGTTGAGGAGGTGATACAGTTGCTTGTGCACTTTCTAAATGAAAATATGTATTATTTATTAAAGTTTGATAAACACAACGAGACTGCTCACTGCTCTACTCCAAAACAGCATATTTTATTTATGAATTCTTTTACAATTGAGTAACTGTTAGTACGAAGGTGTGATCAGACTACACGATTTTATCTGATAGAAATGAAAAACCCATTGGAGTAATTTGAAAGATATCATCAGTTGTTCTATTGGTGAAACAGAAAGATGTCATACATTTTCTGTTTGGATGAATTTATTAATCAATAACAAAGGACTTCTGAAGATTATGTATAACTGTTGGGATTGATTCATCGTACAGTCAATAGTTAATGATATTCAATAACTCAAGTAAAATCTCAAGTAATCAGAGATTTACTTGTATAATGTTATCTCAAGCCCTAACTTGAATCTTCTCTCTTTACTCTAAACAGTCTCTACTATCTATGACTTTGGTCTATTTCTCTTAGATGATGTAGTTAATACAATCGAACGCTAAGATCAAAGAAATACTGTTTTATAGTTGATATAAAAACACAATGATTTATAAAATACTTAAATAGAGAAATAGAAACTAAACAACATTGAATTAAACAGTGGTGGTGGAAAGACGAAGAATATATCAATTGATAGTTCGTTCACTTATAATTCTAATCATAGATATTATCAATTTATATGTGGGAAACATATCGATAAGAATGAAACTAACTGATCTAATCCTTATGCATTGTTTTGATGAGCCATAGATTTAGCGGTAGTTAGTATATATAAAATGAGTATTTTCTGATTTATATTTTAGATGATCAGCTAAAGTGTCTTGTCAATTTTATTATTACTGCACGAACTGTGATTTATATTTCGAGCATCTCGAATTAATATTTTTTTGGAAAATATCACACTGAAAATTTATTCAAATTGGTCGTCAGAAACATACCATTTCTTAGTGTTGACGTTTGTGGACGTTCAACTTCGGCAGGTCTTCCGCGCCACATTTGTGGTAGCCGTCGTACCACATTTGAGAAACTGAAACGTCTATTTGGTTCGCCCATTTCTATAAATGTAGTGGAAAACAATATTATTGATGAGTATCGATTAAAGTAAAAAATCTTCTTACCTAATGTATGATAATAGTGAAAAGAATGTGGTCGATATCGACGTTTAGAAATATATACGAAATAAAAAGGTTATAGACCTGAAATTGTCGAAAAAAAGGCAAAATATATAATCTTATTTTTAATAAATACTAATAGTAGAAAAGTTTTAAAATAATATTATTAGAAAACATATTTCCTATATTTAACAATAATATCGCAGTAATATTGTTTAACATCGTGGAATGATAAAAAAAACTCCTGAAAGATGAAAGAAAATTTACCTTATGGATTTCGGCTTGTTCGGCAAGAAAAAAATATTCTTTAATCTAAACTATTTCGTTAATGTTTTATAGTTTGCTCTTTTTGCTTACGTGGGCGAAAGGAAGAGAAGAAAAAGTGAATTTATATTTATTTTGATCAATTAAAAAGAAGAAAAAATCAGCAAGATCCACTTTACACTTCACAACGCATATGAAAAAAACAGAAGCACCTACGCCATTTCTTTTTTTTTATTAATGAAATAATGCAAACAAAAAACGTTTCGAAATAATGTTGAAATAGGTAGAAATGGAAAAGGGCGTGAGTGTGTATGAGTAACTTCTCGTTATTTACACCTACACCCTCCAGCCATAATCGTCATAAGACTTTCTTTTTATTATTATTCATCTAATTGAAGTTGAAATGACGATCGAAACTTCTGTTTGAATAAACCAAAAAGAAAACATGAGTATACGTCAATTCTATTCAAAACATCAGCTGAATGCAAATGAAATGCAAATAGTAACAATAAGAGAAAAAAATATATATCTAAATAAAGATGAAGGTAAAATTATGTCAATATGCATTGAAGTAATGATATAATTGCAGAATTATCGTGTTCATATCATATAGTATAGGTACAGAAGACAGAGAGAGTGAAATTAAAATTAAAAATCGAACGATAAAAAAGAAGGTTGAAGAGCTTATTGCCCCACAATCTTCTGCATTTTCAAATGATTTACACTAATATACATGTTCAACTGCACATTCCTTTGAATAGGCAATAGTGGAGCTAATTATTAAACCTTAGAAGTATATAGAAATGCAATCTTTGTCATTTTTAATAAAAGAATATTTTACCAATTAAACAAATAACGAATAAGATTTTCGTCATTATATAACTCCGAAGAAGACAAGTAAAAAATAATACGTATATGTATATCTAAAAATATATATTGAGTAGGTTTGATTACCTTTGATGAAAAGAAAAACAAATAGACAAATATCATGATTATAGTAGCTGCACTTATGTACTATTTTGTCTTTTCATGCTTGAAAGAACAACGTTGATTGTAAAATGGTAATATGCACACTAAATAAGAAGATATTACTGAACAACGAAATAATATTTTATTTTATATTTATTGATGATCAGTAAACATTTGAAACTCAATACTAACAATAAACGAAGAAAAGTCACCAGCTGTTGATGACAATTTGGTAAAGTATGTATTTTTATTTATTGAATACCATGAAAACAAGTTACATTTATATAGAACTTACATTTTAAATGACATTTTATAAACTGTATTATCAATATCGAAAAATAGAACTAGATACAAGAATAAATTTCAATTGATAATATTGTATCAGTCGCGTAATAGAAGGCATCGCACGCAAGCCACGACCAACGTTGCTGTAACTGGTCGTGGCTTAGGTACAATGTCTCTTAGCTAACACATGCAATCGAATATATTACATTCTTTCGAAATCTATTGTTCTTAGCAAGTGAAAAATAAACGACAAAGAAATCATAGAAAGTTTTATCGCTTTAATTTTTTTGTATTACCCATCGATCATTAACAATAGTTTCAGAAACCGAATCTTTTTTCTCGGATCAACCAAACATGATTTCTTATGTATTTTGTCTGCTGATATTAACAAAAATCAAATTACTTAAAAACTATGGTATTCATATTTTAGTGACATAAATGTGTTGCAGAGATCCTTTATCCTTCTTTTTTACTTTTTATAGGAAGAGCTGAGAGAAATCTTCGAGAAAATATAAGTAAAATTGAGTTCAGCAGCGCCAAGATTCTCAAAAATTATTTTTCTGATCGCAAGTCCAGCAAAACGTGTACTATTTTTATATTAAGCGATACAAAAGTCTTTGAACAAATGCTAGACTTTGTTAAGCCACAATACTGGCCTCAATTTCCAAACTGTTTTGTTTCAAGAATGAAGAACTAATCTAAAAAGTTTTACGAAAATCGTTACTGACAGAGTTTTTCATGTGCTAGACTTTTTTGTAATTCTTTTGTTACAGTTTAGCCTCATATACCTTAAAATATTACAAAATGCAAACCTATCGAGTTACAAAAAAGGTCTCGGAGGTCTCCTTAGAAATGTTTGATTTTCACTTTTCCTTTTTTCAAAAATAAGTCTGATATAAAGTTTGTTGGTCAAACTTTGCCCTTTCGAACGAAAAAATATTTCATTGGATCAGAGGTCAGTGTTATGGTGTAAGAAACTTTGACATTTGTCCAAAACTTTTGCATCGGTTAATAATCTATTCACTAATCTTATATTGACTCAAATCATTTCTCATTTACTTTCATTCAATATGCTTTAATCAACGTCAGAAGGCTTTCTTTTTATTATTATTCATCTAATCGAAATTGATATAACGATTTAAATATCTTTTTCAATTAACTAAAAAGAAAACATGAATATACGTTAATCCTATTCAAAACATCATTTGAATACAGGTGAAATGCAAATAGCATTAATAAGAAAGAATATATATATATATATATTTATACATAAATACGAAAGTAAAATTATATTGATATGCATAAAAGTAATGATATAATTGTAGATGTATTTTGTATATTATACTATATAAGTACGGCTGATCGAGAAAGTGAAATTAAGAATCGAACGATGGAAAAGAAATTTGAAGAACTTGTTGGTAAACTGAATGATTGTCCATTATCAGTTGATATTCTTCAACAAATCTCATTAATTCTTAAAGAACAAAATAATGCATGTTTATATTCATTTGTACACAAATCATTTGACTCATTATTAGTGGTTGAACGATGGATGTGGAAAGTACTGAGTGATGATTATTGTGATGAATGGAATAATGAAGAACATTATCAAGAGTTCTTTTATACTTTTACATCATTCAACAAGAACCTAATCCTCAATAATGATGATATTGAACTAAATCTCAAGACTGCACTTCTTTTATCAGTTAGCATTGACCAAGTGAGTTCTATTTTCAAACAAATCAATCAAACTAATAATGATAATGACATGTTTATCACTATTGCTTCTCTTTGGTTTGATAATCATTCATGTTTCATACATTATAATCCTCCTTCCGATGTGTTACCTGTCACCAATCATATCAATCAATATATTCTAGATAACTATATATTAAACAAACAATACAAAACTTATTTAAATGAACTGTCACAATCTGTGATATCGCAATCTGTATTCACTGCTAAAATGTTATTCTATATTAGAACATGTTCATTTTCTATATTTTCTTATATGGGAGCGAATCATCATAAGATTTCATGTATTGCTGATGAATTGGTTCGTTGGATTCGAGATGATTATTTGCAGATAATTCATGTTCATAGTCGTACTATAGGATTATGGAGCAAGGAATTATTAGCATGTATGACCCAGTTAATTGCTTTTGCTGTTGTATTATGGTGTCCGATTGGGCAAAACAAAGTGCTGATTAACGCCCTTTTTGTAGCAGAACAAAGTATCTATGATCATATAGAAGATCTCATGCGAATTATTGATTACAAACCATTTCATAAAGAAATGAAACCTGTACGATCAAATGATGAGACAAGTATCATGGATGCAGCATTGATGATATTAATGGTCATAGTACGAACACAGAACGTAAGTTGGTTTTTTCGTTCAAATGTATCAATACAAAATGCGTTGACAACTCTTGCCGAAGCAGCGTTATACGATGAGATCTGCTTACACATATATGGTATATTAAGTGAAGTTCTAAGTAATGAACAATTTAAAAATCTGAAGATTGCAGATAGCATGGGTGGTTTTTT